ACGATAGATGAAGCAATTGTGAAGGGGGTCAATGAAGCTTTTACCAAACGAAACATATACCACACGCTTGAGAGAATGTCCGGCGGGCTTAGAAGAGAAGGGGTTTGGGGGAGGAAGGCCGGCCAGGCGGTGCGGACGGTGGCAGGGCGGTTTAGAGGCCTTGTCGGCGGTGGAGGCGGCCGAGCCAGGTCGGGGTGGGGGAACTCCATGGATGGAGCTCGCCACGGAAGGAGCAGGGAGGGCAAAAAGGCGGCCGCCGCGGGCGCGCTTGGGTTTCGCCGAAGGTCCGGAGCCGCCAAACTCCGGCGAAACCCTAGCGCGCCGCAGCGGGGGCGAGGATGAGGACAAAGATGGTGCGGCTACTGGTGAGGCAAGCGGGAGTGGGGCACGAGGACAAGAGGCACGAGGAGGAATACGCGAGAATGAGAGGAGCGCGGGGGGAGGTTGAAGGTAACTGACACTTCATCAAAGCGTTAGTCACCTGTGAGGGAGACAAACCATTAAAAAATTTGAGGCTGTTCCATATAAGTGGGCGAGTGTTGCTGCTACAAAGTTTTTTTTAAAAAAAAATTGTTACACAATGAACATGTTACTTTGCCTCTTGTTGAAACTAATATTTTACAGTATGTACATGAAAAGAGAATAATGTGTAAGAAAATGAACAAGTCGTTGTTTCATGTATGAGCTCTCTCAGTGTGCTGAATATGTCCACTGATCATGTTATATTGGAACCTCTCTTGATTTATCTTCTTGTGACGGTGAAACATTCGTTTCCTAAATTTGCATTGCTTAAGAAAAATAAAAATATGCTATCTACGTAGGAAAAATGTTTTTGACAAAAGTTTATCTAAATGAGGCTTGTTTTGAGAAAATTATTCTAACAAATACATTATGCAATCAGAATTTATTAAACACTTAATTTGTAAACCATCCATTTAAAAAAAATCATGCAAATGATAACGTAAGCAAATTTGTTTTTTTTTCCCCATATGCCTCATGTCATGGGCCCAAAAAAGTAAAACGCGCCCGACGAAAAAGAATGTGCATCAACGCATCAGCTGATGCATGTGGCGGAGGGGATGGTTCGGCAGTGTACTCCGTCCCTAGATTTTGCGCCGCATCAATTCGGAATTTCAGATTTGAGACATGAGGTGTTGGCTCTCGTGCGTTCGAACTTAACACAAACTCCGGTATTGGATTGAAAACTTGAGATCGGATGGCTCTGTTCGCTTGAACTACTTCAGCAGTACCTTTCAGCGAACGAACAGTGCTTTCCTCTCACAACAAATCAGTATAAACATCAGCATAAACCAAATTTCAGCGAAACAAATCCAAGGAATAGCACACCGGTCAACCGGTGCAAGGAGGATGGTGGATGGATGCACAATTTTGAGATGAACTCACCACCAACGCTTGTGGCACCGGCATACTTAACATGAGGATCGTCTTGCGAACGCCTTTTCTTGGTCTCAAAGAAGGCGGGGTTTAGCGGTCGGTGGAATCTGATCGTTTTTCCGCCGTCCTCTAGAACCAAAGGATGGTGGATCGACCGTCGTAGCAAATTGCGCGGCAGTAGTAAGCACGGCTGCAGCTCATTCACAACACACGAGCGTAAAAGCAGCAGCACATCGGCGAAAGTTTTCCCGTTCCCGTCGGCCGTCAAAAGTCGTCTCGTCGACCCCACAGGCCACAGGCCAAAGAAGATAAACGTCGTCAGGACTCACTCAATCACTCCCCCATCCTGGAGAGCCCGAGCCCGATGCCCGACAGAGACAGGCCCACAATTGGCTCTTTGCTTAGCCAAGATAACTATGGCAGTCGCAGGCATTAAGATCCCGTCCTTTTGCTTAAATGAGTACGTACTGTAGTAGCTCCCGCAATCGCAAACATTATTGGATGAATAGCTCTTCTACATCCAGCCGGCCGCCACCAATGGAGGCCTCCACCATTAGCTTCTAGCACATGGACGCCGTCAGCCTTGAAGCAATTGTGAAGGGGATCAACGAAGCTTTTACCAGACGGAACATATACCACACGCTTGAGAAAACGGACAAATGTCTGGCCATGCTGAGCGATACGTGTTGGTAAGGCCACTTGTACGTGCGATTGGTGCATAAATAATTTTAGCAAGTTGATTTGCGTGATCGATTAAATAAATTGAGGCTATTCCAGATAAGTGGACGAGTGTTGCCGCAACAAAGTTTTTTTTTCAAATTTAAATTGTTGCACAATGAACATGTTACTTTGCCTCTTGATGAGGAGAATAATGTGTAAGAAAAATGAACATGTCGTTGTTGTTTGATGTATGAGCTCTCTTAGTGTGCTGAATATGAACACTGATGATTCCCTATGCTGTACAGGATCAATAGACAGCAAACTTGGTCAGTTGCAGAAATGTTTGAGGTGGATTGGGAGTTAGACTGCAGAAGAAACTTGGGACAGGAGGAGTGTGATGAATTAATGGAATTACAAGAAGCTTTAGAGGTGATACAGATCACGGAAGAGGACGATAGCTTCATCTGGGCCCTAGAACCATCAGGCAAATTTTCAAGCAAATCCCTCTACAGATTTATGGTGAATCCTGGAGAGGTGGACGGGAGAATGGTAGATTTGTGGGAAATTAAGCTTCCACTGAAGATCAAAGTTTTCCTTTGGATGTTGTGGCACGACAGGGTACAGATAGCGGAACAACTAAAGAGGAGGAAAAGCAAGCACTCTGAATTTTGCAAAAACGGTGGGCGCCTGGAGACCAGAGACCATCTATTCTTTAACTGTAGTATAACCTAGATGATTTGGGTATGGGGGTGCGGGTTAGTCTTAGATGGAATAGGAGGCCTATCTTGATGACTAGCTGCCAAGATATGCTTAACGCGGGTGGGGTTGAGAGTTCTAAGAGTGTTACTTCTTTGTGTTAGCCAGTGTAGCATGGGCTGTGTGGAAGGCCAGGAATGATTGGGTCTTTAATAACAGACTTACCAAATCTCCCAAAGGTATTGCTTATAAGGTTTTGGCACTGTTGAAGCAGTGGAAGAAGATTCTCAAGACGAAGGACCAAGAGGTGGAGGACACTCTACTGAAGCTACAGGAGAGATTGCGAGCGTGGTGATCAAAGGCTACTGAAGTGCATGAAGACCCTTTGTTGGTGGGCGTGGCAGGCCCCTACCAGTTTCTACTTCAGTTTAGCTCTTTTTATGTTTGCTGCGTGTAATCTGGACAGCCTTTACTTTCTCTAGACCTTCGCAGTTATGCGCCGTTTATTGTAAGCTGGAACCCCAGCAAAACCTTTGCTTTCAATACAAGCAGGGCCAAAGTGCCTTCAGTCTAAAAAAAATATGTCCACTGATCATGTTATATTGGAACCTCTCTTGATTTATCTTCCTGTGACGGTGAAACATTTGTTTCCTAAATTTGCATTGCTTAATAAAAAGAAAAATATGCTATCTACGTAGGAATTTTTTTTGACAAAAGTTTAGATTATCTAAATGAATCTTGCTTTGAAAATTTTATTATAAAAAATACAACAATGCAATCAGAATTTATTAAGTACTTATTAATTTGTAGAGCATCTATTTATAAAATTTCATGCAAATGATGATGTAAGCAAATTTGTTTTTTCCCAGATGCCTCACGCCATGGGCCCAGAAAGTACGCACCCCACGAAAAAGAATGTGCATCAGCGGAGGGGATGGTTCGGTAGCGTAATCCGTGCCGACCAGTTGGACCGGACTGAAGACTTGAAATTTGATGTGCCAAAATACAGATAGGAACGAATGATCGGGTGCATCAAAGGAATGGCACACCGGTGTAAGGACTAATAAAGGCCCCCGTTCGTTTAGCGAAAAAAAAAACTCCATGGAACAATTCCGGTCCAGGATTGCTATTTAATTTTACGTAAGATTTTGTTAGCAGGAATAATTTCAGGCCAGGATTTCCCTAACCGAATGGGGCATGAGGAGGATGGTGGATGGGTGCACAATTTTGAGATGAACTCACCGCCACCGCTTGTGGCACACTTAGGCCCCGTTCGCTCCGCTGAAAAAACAAGCCGAAGCACTGTTCCGGCTGATTTGTTGTGAGAAAAAAATATAGTTCTGGTTAAAAAAATAAATTAAAAAAGACGGATTATAAGAAAAACGAACGGGGCCTTAACTTACCGTGAGGGTCGTCTTGAGCAGTGATAAAGAACGCCTTGGTTCAGTGGTCGGTGGAATCTGATCGCTTTTCCGCCGTCCTCTAGAACCAAAGGATGGTAGCGCTCGCGCGTCGTCGCAAATTGGCCGGCTGCAGCTCATTCACACGAGCATAAAAGCAGCAGCACATCGGCGAAAGTTTTCCTCGTTCTACTCTGTCGTCAAAGTCGTCTCGTCGACCCCACAGGGCACAGGCCACGAAGACAAAAACGTCATCAGGATTCAGGATTCAGGTCCCGTCCCGGAGAGCCCGAGCCCGAGCCCGATGCCCGACAGGCAGGTCCACAATTGCAACAGTCGATCGAGACCCGACGACGCCCCTGCCATGCCAAGGCAGGCTTTTTTTGGCTCTTTGTAGCCGCAGTCGCAGCTTCACAAACGCACACGGCAAAGATTCGAGATCCCATCCTTTTGCTTCTATACTAGTAGTAGTAGCAGGAGGTAGTTCCCACAATCGCAAGCATTGTTGGATGAAGAGCTCCAACAGCTGGCCGCCACCAATGGAGGCCTCCACCACTAGCTTCTTTACCTCGCCACCGCAGGCTGCCGCGCCCGCGCCGACCGGCGGCGACGCCGTCAGCCTTGACCGCCTAAGCACCAACCTCGAGCGTCTCCTAGACCCTTCGTTCCCCAACCGCGCCGACACCGAGATCGTTCTCGCCTCCGGACTCCGGAGGCTCGGGCGGCGAACCCGGCGCCGCCGCCATCGTCGGCGCGCACAGCTGCATCCTCGCCGCCAGGAGCTCCTTCTTCCTTCAGTATTTCTCCTCCATCCCCGCCGGTGAGAAGGCTCGGCTGAACCTCGCCGACATGGTCCCCGGCGGCCGCCACATCGGCCGGGACTCCCTCGTGGCTGTTCTTGGCTACCTGTACACTGGGCGCCTCAAGGTGCCGCCTGATCAGAAGTGTGTGGATGACACGTGCAGACACGAGGCGTGCCGGCCGGCCATAGACTTCGTCGTCGAGTCCACGTACGCCGCCTCTGGCTTCGAGATCCCGGCGCTCGTCTCGCTCCTCCAGGTAATCAACGATACTACCTTTTTTATATAGCTAAGATAAGAAGAACTGTGCCTGGGCTAACTATTGAGCCCGCGGGCTAGCACAACGTGGCCAGCTACGTTGTTATGTGTAATTTAAAAAAAAATACATATATATTTCAAAATCCGAACAGGTGGCTACTACTACCTTCTTTTTGTTCGAAGAGGGCTACTGCTACCTTCTTGGCCCTGTTAGGGGCCGTTTGGCACGGGAAAATAAAAGGAAAAGCGTAGGAATTCACGTTCCTATGGAACGATACCAAATTTGCTGTTTGGAACGAGAGAATCAACCCTTTCCTCTATAATCCTGTAGCCAGATGCTCATTTCATAGGAAAACAAAAATCCATTGCTACCTCTGGTTTTGTCTCCGCCGCGGAAGTCCGAGGCAGCAGCCAACAACGTTGGATGCTGATTGGCTTTGCTTGGCACACTTTGGCAAGATTGATTGAAGAGGGCCCACGTACAACTACCAAATTAGTTCTAATTTATCCTCGTTAGTGTGTTTTTTATTCCTACGTTCCAAACACCTCTTATTATATTTTCCTATGTTTTTCCATTCCTCTGTTTTACCACTTTATTCCTAACTTTTTCCTCCGTTTTCTCTCGTTCCTCTGTTTTGCATTCCTTCCTTCCAAACATGCCCTTAGTTTCGCTAAAATTAAGCTTATGTTGATGCTTATGTTATGTAGATTTGTTGTAAGAGAAAAACATTGTTCATTAATTAGAATGCGAATGTCATAGGATCCAATAAATTTACATAACCAATTCTTTTAAGACAAAATTTGCATATACAAATGCTCCATTTGACAGAGATCCGACTCAAATTCCATAAATTTATTTACATAACTAATTCTTTAAAGACAAATTTAGCATAACAAAATGCTCCATTTGACAGAGATCTTTTTCTGAGCCAGAACAACGGGGGACGATGAGTCCCCACCACGTATCTGGTGGGTGGAGGGCCGTGGCCCAAGTTTCGGCTTGAGCCAATTACAAATTCAGGAGGAAGAAAAGGAAGGATTACATCCAAAAAATCGAGTTCCAAAAACTAGAGAGTAGAGGAGAGTTCCTAGGAATACGACATTGCCATAGTTGCGCAGTGGTCTTGCAAGCTATCACGAGTCGGTCCACGCTGGGGGGAGCCTTCGGAACACCACATCATGACGGCGTTTCCACAGTTCCCAGCAGCAGAGAAGGATCAAAGACGATGCTGCCTTCTTTGGCGTTCCTTCGTGGGGCTTAGTGCACCATAGGTTTTCCACTATCCGGATGTCTTCAGCTCTCCACCCGATTCTAGCCCCGAATTGACGAGGAAGCCACGGTTCATCACTTCGTGCACCGACATATCTCCACCTTTGAAGTGACTATGAAGAGCTGGGAAGGTTGCAGCAAGGGTTGAGTCCAACGGCAGCCAGTGGTCCACCCAGAATGACGATGATTTACCATCTCCAAGTTTGATGTAGGAGATGTTGCGGTATGCTGGAAGTAGGTCTCTCAACGCCTCCCAGTGGTCGCCGGCGATCTCGCCCTGGAGGTCCACTAGCCGTATCTATTGTCTGGCCCATGTTGCCCAGGAAGAGTCCCCTGGGTGGTATAGACAGTGAATAAGCTTTAGCAGCAGGCATGCATTCTGTGTATCTAGCCTCTTGATGCCCAGCCCCCCGTCTTCTTTCATGCTGCAAACCTTCTCCCACGCCACTAGGCATTTGGCTCCTGATGTTTTGTCTGAGCCGTTCCATAGGAATGCTCGATGTTTGGCGTCCAATGCCTCCTTCACTCTTACTTGCAAAGCAAGAGCTCCCATTGCATAGGTCGGCAAACCATCCAGGACCGCGTTGATGAGGACCACTCTTCCAGCCGGGCTCAGCAGTGTCACTTTCCATCCTGCCAAGTATCTGTCAACCTTTGCAATCAGCGAAGCAAACACCGAGATTCGCAGCTTGGTGTTCGACAGCGGGAGTCCAAGGTAGGTCTGCGGGAAGGTACCTTGCTGGCACTGCAAAATCTGCACCATATCTTGAGCTTGCGTTGCCTGGATGTGCATTGGCACAACTGTACTCTTGTGGAAGTTAATCTTCAGGCCGGTCGCTTGAGCAAAGTGATCCAGACACATCTTCAGGTGACTGACATCGCTGCTCTCCGCGCGGACGATAGTGTGTCATCCGCGTATTGCAGCACGGGGCAGGCTTGATTAGTTAGCGGATGTCTTATTCTGTCTCCCTCTGCCTTGATCAGAGTTTGCAGTACATTGGCCACGATCAGGAAGAGGTAGGGGGAGAGGGGGTCTCCCTGCCTTAGTCCTCTCTTGCACGAGATCCATGGACTTGGGCAGCCATTCACCAGCACCGCCGAGCGTGAAGACTTTAGGAGTGCTTGAATCCACTCACACCATCGGTTGGGGAAGCCTCGGCACTGCAGGACCGCTTCAAGACAATCCCAATCCACTGAATCAAAGGCTTTTGCAAAGTCCAGTTTGAGGACCAAAGTAGGGGCCTTCCTCTGATAGCAGCACTGAATAAGCTCTATGGCGTAGATAAAATTTTCTGATATGGACCGGCCTCTGATGAACCTTGTTTGATCGACATCGATCAATTTCTGGATTTGCACTTGCAGCCTTGTCGTGAGTACCTTGACCGGGCAATTCTGGAGAGAGACCGGGCGGAAGGAGGATGGAGTCACCGCGCCCGGACATTTGGGAATCAAGACTATGTGAGCTCGGTTGATTCTTTGTAGGTCAACTCTGCCCGAGTGGAAAGCTTCAAGAAATTCCATGATCGCCGGCTTGACATTGTTCCAGGCTGCCTTGTAGAATCCTGGACCAACACCGTCTAGCCCTGGAGCGCTGTCCGCGCTTATATGCCGGACAACCTGCCATGCTTCTTCCATGAACGCGGTAGTGAGGGCCTTGGCGTCAGCCCTCTGCCTGCCGCCGTAGATAGCGTCGAGGTTGAACGCCCACGTAGTATTATCCTTGCAGCCCAGGATGCCGGAGTAGTGCGCGGTGACCGCGGTCACCTTGCGTCGTAGGCGAACAGCGATTCGCCGCCCACCTCCAGCCGTTGGATTCTGTTGTTCCGTAGGCGCATGGACGCGCACGTGTTGGCATCCCCCTCCCGCAGCGCCTTGCACTTTCCCCTTTGCTTCCAACATGCTGCCTCTTCTTGGATAAGTAAGGCGGCCCGTTCGCGGCAAAGTGTTCGGAGTAGATGTTCTCCTGCAGACAGTGTCCGAAACTCTTCGAACAGATCAAGTAATAGGATAACAGAAGTGCAGTTATGGAAAGTGGTGGGTTTGGATCGACGCTTACGTGACCAGACAGACGTCGCGTGCCGAAGAGCCTTGATCCGAGCCACTAGCAGCCTGTTCGGGAGGCCGTATCGTATCGTGGATTATTTACTGCTGGCTGGTTTGGTGTGAGAGAAAAACATTGTTCCCGGCTGAAAATTTACGATCATTTACGAGCAAACGAACAGGCTGTAGGATGCCAGTTACGTCCGCCGTAGAGGTGGAGGCGCTCGCCCAGGCCACGGTGACCACAGGCAGGAAGTCTTTATGTTTGAGCCAAGTGTTTTCAAACCTGAAGCAGTGGGGCTCTAGGATGGTGGTGGGGATCTGGATGAGTAACGGAATGTGATCCGAGGTGATACCTATTCTAGAGGTAAGCGAGGTATTCGGGAAGCTAGAGCTGAAGGCCCCGTTCGGCTTACCCCATATTCGACTTGTTCGGCTTGTTTTTCAGTCGGAGCAGTGTTTTTCTCTCACAACAATTCAACAAGAACAGTGTTTTTCAGCGAGTTTCAGACCAGCGATCAGGGCCGAAAGAGTTGTTGAGGAACGCTCTATCCAGCCGGGCCAGAGTAGGGCGCTCCCTCTTGTTGCTCTAGGTGTAGCGACGGTCAAGCAGAGGGAGTTCGAGAAGGGCTAGAGAGTTGATGGTGGTGTTGAAGCGATCCGCAAGACCACTGTCAAAGCCGGGGGTATTCTTATCACAAGGGGAATGAGTGAGATTGAAATCACCAACAAGCAACCAGGAGACAGAGTCATCCACGGTGATGTTAGAGAGCTTAGCGAGGAACGTGTTCGTGTCTTTGTGGTCAGCCGGGGCGTAGACATTAGTGACCGTGAACTTGAGGTCTGAGGAAGTAGACGTGAAAGGCGTGGTGAGTGTGAACAGGCCTTTGGCTGGGGGGCCAGCCGTGAGCGTTGAGGGGTTCTAGGCCATGATGATCCCCCCTCTTGATCCGTTGCCGGGACGTCGTTGTGGGCCGAGAGATTGGAGGGGAGGAAGGACCTGGTTTTGTTCCGATCTAGCCTATCAAGTTTGGTTTCCTGGAGGCAGGCAACACGGGGTAGGCACCACTAATGGAGTCGCGGACGAGATCACACTTATCAGATTGTCCTAGCCCACGAACGTTCCAGGACAGAACATTGAACTCGAAGCGCTTTTGATTTATGGAAACTTGATTACAACGGGCCGTCTGCAGCCATGCGCAGGCAAGGCCATGACACACAGCTAGCACTAGGAACGGAGACATTGCACGGGGCTATCACAAGATTACCTAAAACGACAACGAGATGGAGAAGCGCTTCACGAACAACTATGGCGCACCGAGACCTAAGATTACAGGCACAAGATTGTCGGTCTTCAAACGACAACGGTGTGGGCGAAGCGCTTCACGGACAACTATGGCGCACCGAGAGCCGGCACGCTGGGGCAGCCGACTGCTGCCGGTCTTCATTGGGCACTGGTGTGGGCAACGGACACCGCCACGGCGTGGCGATCAGCGCAGGAGAGCCCGGCCGCCTTGGCAAGGCGACCAAGATCCAGGGCACCCAGGGGGTTCTTCCTCTTTAGCATCTTGCGCGAGAGCGGGTGATCACGATGGGGAAGCGCGGCAGCGGCGGGAGTGGGAAAGCGTGGATGGGCTCCAAGATTCGGAGGAGGAAGCCCAGGAAGCGCATAATGTTTGGGTTGCCGTGGGCTGGGCCTCCGCCTCCCCCCTGTTCAGAGGATGCCCATATGATGTTGCTGATGGTCTTCGAGCTAGGCCGGAGCCTCCCAGAAGTCGTCTCCCGGGGCCAAAGCTCATCGAGGCCCTGTTTAGTTCCCAAAAATTTTCAACCCAAAATGTCACATTGAATCTTGCGGCACATGCATGGAGCATTAAATGTAGACAAAAAAAACTAATTGCACAGTTTGGTTGGAAATCGCGAGACGAATCTTTTAAGCCTAATTAGTCTATGAAAAGCCTTAAGTGCTACAGTACCCCCACATGTGCTAATGACCGATTAATTAGTATCATTAGATTCGTCTCGCAGTTTTCTGATAGGTTCTGTAATTTGTTTTTTTATTAGTATCCAAAAACCCCTCCCGACATTCTTCTGACACATCCGATATGACACAAAAAAAAAAATTCACCTCACCAGCTAAACACCCCCCCGAGTTGCTCAGCTCTGGGCCAGATCTTGATGATCTCGATGCGGAACGCCGAGCCTAGGGATGTGGCCTCGCCTGGATTGCCCAGGAACTGGAGGTCCAGGAGCAGATCCGATGTCTCCCTGGTGATGACAACGCGGAGGCTGGAGTGGTCACCACGGAGACAATCTGGGTCGATTTCCACGACTTGGCCCAGGTCGCGGAAAGCTGCAGGGATCCCCTCCTTGGCCCAGTGCGCCTAACGATGAACCGGTTGGAGGTGTCTTCCGGGCGCTCCAGAGTGACATGGCCCCCATCGTGCTCGATCAGGCTCAGGTCAACCACTTCGTCACGGTCAGCCCTGGAGTCAAAGCGAAGCAGCATATGCCCCCTGGAGGACGGGAACATCAGGTAGTCGACCCGTTCCGCCGCCTCTATGAGCGCCCCTCGGATGTAAGGGGAAGGGTTGGACGTAAGGCTGGGCAAAAATAATCGAGAACCGAGAACCGAACCAAAAGAATCGGAACCGAAAGCGAAAGAACCGGAACCGAAAATTTCGATTCCTTATTCGGTTCCTGATATTGAAGAACCGAAATAACCGAAGAAAATTCGGTTCCTACTCTCGGTTAACCAAATTAACCGAAAGAACCGAATTACATGAATTATACTTCACTTACTTGTATTTTGTAGGATTATGTGTAGTGTTTTATATTTGAATTGCTATATATTTATGTTACTATATTGCTATTGTTTTCTTATATATTATTATTATTAAAAATGAATATAGCGTTGCATAAATTTGCCTTAGAACAAGTATATTTATTATTGTCTTGAGGTCTTCTGAAAAAATTTGGTTAGTTCGGTTAGAATCGGAACCGAACCGAAATAACTGAGAACCAAAATACTCGGTTCCTAAAATTTTTTTGGAACCGATCAATTCTTATTTTCTAGAAACCGAATTTCTTCGATAACCGAAATAACCCAACCAAAACCGAACGTCCGAGTTGGACGTGGGCGCGTCCTCACTTAGGGTGGCGTAGGCGAGTTTCCCCGCCCGCTCCATATCTCCGGGAGGCATCCAGATGACGCGGTGGAGGCCACGCCCATCATAATCCACCGGCCTGAGCGGGGACGCAACTGAGCGGAAGGGCGAGTCATCGGAGTCAACCTCCTCACTGTCGTCAGAGCTGGAGCCAGGGGACCCCGCGGCTCACCATCCTGGGCGGGATGTCGTCGTCGATGTCGTCCATGCCACGCCCAGGAGCTGAAGCCGCCGGAGCGGGCGCCGGTAGAGGCAGAGGCAGAGGCGGGGAAGGCGGGGCGACCGGCCACCACCAGAAGTGCCCACATCTGGGACAAGCGCAAGCCGTGTGGGGGAGGAACTACAGTGGACCACCATCAGGTATTCGAGGCTAGGGTTGGGTGGGAGGGGCTGAAGGGGGGTGGAGTTGAGCTGGAAGTCAGGGGCGCTGGAACTAGAGGAGGCGATGAGGTTCACGGGGTCATAGGTAGGGTTCGGGAGCTCCGGGGTGGGCAGTGGTGATGGTGGACGAGGACTGGTGGGTGGTGGAGTCATCGTGTCTGGGCGAGGGGAGTAAGGGACGGCATGGACCGGAACGCGTGAGGTCGGAACAGGCACGGTGGGTCGGCGGCCGGGCCACTGGGTGGAGCGTGAGGGCATCCTACAGATGCAAATTATGTGATTAATAAGAACTAGATATTGGCATTCATTCATAAAAAATCTAGTCAACGATTAATCTAGATTACTTGCTAGTCATGGGGTGGCAGTGTCTCTAGTGTCTAGGATAACACTACACTTAGCCACCCAAACAAAAAGATAAACCAACAAGGCACGAACTCTAATGAAGTTTTCCTGTTCCGATTGATAGTCAGAAGAATTGATGAGTTTTCAATAGTTCAAGGTATAAGTATGGCTTCATTGACATTTGTTCTGAAATTTTAATATTAACGCTATTATCTTCCTTCTTAGTATAATGATATAGGAGTATATGCAACTCTCCTGCGTGTTCGAAAAAAAAGCATAGTGTCCATTTCCTTACTTGTACATAGGAAAAAGTGTTATTAGCCATGGCATATGGCAAGGTCCAAAAGTGGCTTGTTACATGTCATCTATATGATCATCTGAAATCAGAATCAGATATAAAAATGGTTGTGCGTTAATACTTCTTGTCTAGAGACACTACCTTGGTACAATGATATTACAAAATTCCTCCATCGAAAATAGTTCAATTCTAACTTTGTGGTTCTCATGTTGCAGCGACGACTGTCTGGCATCGTTGACATAGCTTTCTATGAGGATATAATGCCGATTATTCGTGTTGCTTCCAAATGTCAGCTTTCACACTTGCTCAATCAGTGTATTCGAACGGTTGCGTTCTCGACTCTGGATGACAATTTCCTTGAGAAGGAGCTTGCAGGTGATATTTACAACGACATCAAGAAATTTCGCCGATGCTTGACTATAGATGAATTAGATGCTTCCATTGTGGATGCTGAGCATGAGAAGAGGGTTACAGACATTCACAAGGCCCTGGATTCTGGTAATGTTGACCTTGTTTCCATGCTCTTAAAACAGTATGGAGTCACCTTGGATGAGGCATTAGCCATACACTATGCTGCAACCTACTGTGAGCCCAAAGTGTTGCAAGAATTGCTAAAACTGGACCACGCCTATGTGAATATGAAGAATAGTGGTGGATATACACCACTACATATGGCTTGCATGAGGCTAGAACCAGACATCATCGTTTCACTCTTGGAGAAGGGAGCCTCTGTAGTGGAATGGACACAAGATGGACGTGATGCTCTTACTATCTGCAAGAGATTAACAAGACATCAGAAAGATGTTAACAGAGAGTTGAAGAAGGGTAAGGAAATAAGCAAGCCTTATTTGTGTATCAACATATTGGAGGAAACCAAGAGGACCTTCACCTTGGACCAGGTCTCTTTAGAGGAGGCAATTGTCAGGGTCACACCTTTGCGTCCTGATAATTTTCTCATGAGGCTTCTAGATTTGGAATGTAGAGGTTAGCTTATACTCTGTCCTATTTTGAGTTACATATCATGTCATTTTGCTATAGTTTGTTCTAGTTAATTATTCACCCATTTTGATATACCAGTAAGTAATCTGTAGGGACATTTGGTTGAGAATAATGCCTTGAAAGCTAAAAAATGGCATCTGTTTTTGGTCCAGGGGAAAAAAGTTAGATAAAGGTCAAAGCTAAGTTAATTCTAGCGTAAACTTTAGTGGGTTTCTTTTTTGTTCTGATTGGATCAGCTAACATATGACAATATTGTTCAGGTAGTCTTCCTTCAATTTTTTCTTTGCTAGACATGTTTGCCCCTAGCTATTTTTTTATACTTCGTTTTTAAGGTCCGACGGAGTAAGAAGTACACCGATACATTAACTATAGTGATTTAACTTTATTATACTGTATATGACTTAAATTTTGCAAGCTGGTGTTTTCTCCCTGACAAAATTGGTGCTTTTGACTTATCTTGATTCTTGAATAGTTGAATTTAGTATGTTTAACTCAGTAGAATGAAAATTCAGAACATTATAACTTTATTAATCCCTAACATGTGACCCTTGCATTGCATCATACATGCCATTGACTAGTAAAGTCACAATTCTTGAGTCACCACTCCTTTGAGTTTAATATCCTGACTGAATTATTCCATCTTGATGAATCTAAATGTAATGCGTAACTGGCTTAGTTTGTCGTAATGTTCTCAATATGCTATGTAGATCTTATTGGCTATATTCTTCGAGCATCAGAAGCATATATAAAGAATCATTGATTTAAATATTTTCTTGTCTGCTTCTGTCCCCTTCCAGCTTGAAACTAAATTAGGACATTTGTTCTCAAGTTTATATTGCATGTTTATGCAGTTACATTTGCAAAACTATTCTTCCCTTCAGTAGCCCAGCTTTTCATGCGCATAGCAGGAGCTGAGTTTGCTGGGTCTAAACTGAAGGATGTTGGTTTAAATGAGTCCTTGGACTGGAGGTTTCGCGAACGTTTTGATGCCTTAACAAGGATAGGTTTGTCAATTCCTATCACGCCTCTTTTGACATAATCATGCATTTTGTACTAAAATTCTACAACAGTTACGCTAGCTGCAGTCTGTTTCATATTTGTGTTATGCAGTGGAGCTAGGGAGACGGTACTTCCCAAGTTGTTCTGACGTTCTTGATAAGTTCCTCACCGAAGAATCAGCTCTGGCCTTGCTGGGGAATAGCACGCCAGAGGAGGACCAGGTGAGGATGCACTTCTATGAACTCAGAAACGAGGTACGGAAGGCCTTCGACAAAGATACCGCCAGTGAAGTCATAAATCCAACGGTGCTTGCTACAGTACTCCAATTACTTTATAAGAGGTAAGATCTTAAACAAATGTCAGCCATTAATTTTTATAATGCAAGCAAACATTAAGTAATTAATAAATAGTTAAAATATTTAGAAAAAAGAAAAGAAAAATCTGACAATGACACGGTAGGCTTCCTTCCTTGTGAAGGAGATGCCACCTTTCTTATCCTGCATTACACATGAATCGTCATGAGCCTGGAGTACTCCATGCCCGTGGCCACTATTAATGTTGAGCGTGAACCAATCTATGATCACAGCCACGATCATAGGCGATAGTAGGACCGGATCGGTCAGTGGCTCTATGGATAGTCATCTATGGAAACCTCCTAGAGATTTATTTTGTATTCCCTTCTTTTTCACATCCACTCTGCATGCTAGTGCATATGTCGCATTATAAAAATGTTGCAACTCTCATTAGACCTATACCTGTATATCACATTCGAAAGAATTACAACTCATGTTGATGTAACACTAATGTTGGGATAAATTATAACTCCATGGAGATCCATCAATTAAAAAAATGTTGCATGGCACATTGAAAACCATACGTACATATCCATATGGTATGCATGTTAGATCTCATAGATAGATATTTTGCCTAATATTTTGTTTATTTTCTATTTCTAAAAACAATATATATTTTTTGTTGGTAATACCTCCAGGAGGTAATAATATGTAATAATAGCTATCTAGTCTATGGTCCACAATTATTTTGAAGTACTGTAGCAAAATCCAACTTCAACAGCATCTTCATTTTCACTACCAAGGTATGAAGGAGTAAATGACAGTAAACCTATGCATGGGAAAAAGTAAGCAATCACCATAAACTTCTGTAGTTTAACTGCGATCTGCTTAGCACACATGACTTGCAAAGAAGCTGGGGAGGGTGGTGTTTGAGGCTTCTATGACATGGCATCGTGTGGTGGAATGAGTGAAACTATTCGGCTGCCTAAAAGCATTTCTTGTACCTTTTGTGCTCTGACGTATGATGGTAGTTTGACAGCTTTTGTTAGTGGCTGGTGGTCACTGGTCAGTTTTGTACAGTAGCAGAGCTTCACATGAATGTTAAGGGGGGCTATCAGTGATAATAATATAGATAAAGTTACAATATCGGAGCATAATTAAGTATAGAACTCTATAACCAAAATGAAGCTCTGCCACCAGTGGTTTTGTAGTCATCCTACCTGTCTTACATGTTTGTGCGCTGTAAGCTAAGGCCTTGTTTGAAAAAAAAAAAGAATATCAAAGGATTTCTTTGAGAAATTTTCCTTTTGATGCCTTTTGGTATTTTGGAACAAAGGACTGAGCAACAACAAATCCTACAGCTTGCTCTGTAAAAACTTTGGAGCAATTCCAACATGTGGTTCAGCAGGTAAAAAGAAATTTGGTCAGTAACCAGCCTTACTGGGGTTTCTGTAATTTTTTCTTGATATGTTTACTAGTTACTACTCGGTTCAACCTCATGAAAAACTTTTTTTATCAACCTCTCTCTTCAAGTTTGTGTTTTTCTTGCACCCTATTGCTAAGGACGTCAATTGTATCCTAGGGTCAGAACCCATGGGTACCAAACCAGATGGCCTCAGGTGTGGATCTGTTTTTTTGGTCCACAGGGGCGGTGGGTCAGAACCTGATTATTATTATTTCTTCCTGCAGTACCACGAGTCTTCCTAAGCACATGTTCTGGCTCAGTGTCACAATTCATAGCCCAATAGCCCTGCCCACCCTACACTGCTCTATCTTCCTTCTATGTAGTTGATAGAGATTTGTGTTGCTATGCAGTATGCACCGAATCGCTAGGAATGTAGTCTTATGAAAAGTGAGAAACTGATGTTAGTTGTGTCACTGTTAGTTGTTACAATCAATTAGTAGGACTACAAATTGATGTTATGCATGATTCGCTGTTGACTTGAATGAAATATGTGGATTACTTGAGCTGTAGCTTCTACTTTTCAAGTGGTTATCAAATTCTTTTTTCTCCTTGAGTATATGTCCTATAATCTGATTCTTGTTTCACTGTCTGCCGTCAGCTACTGATACGCATTAGTGATAATGAACCTGTCCATTTTTCAGGGGAATGTTGAATTTGGGTACTAACCCGTCACAGGCTGAAGGTGCAGCTGATTCTTCTAATGCACATGCACCGCCCTCTGGCCTCTCTATCCAAGCTTCCAGTGCCAGTACAGCCGCAAGGCAACTAGAATCACAAAGTATTGATGTTGCAGTAGATGATGTTGGTGTTGGGTCTAAAAGAAAACTGAAGTCTCCAGTATGGGATGAATTTAAAAGAGTTAAAACAGGGGATGATTGGTTTGCTATATGCATGTGGTGTCATCAACGACTTAAAGCATGCTCGAAAAATGGGACCAAACACTTACATCGCCACCTAAAAATTTGTCACTCTAGACAGGCAACCAAAGGCCTTAACCAGTCCACTTTGAAAAATTAAGGTTGGGTGCACCAAACTTTTGTTTCAACAATTGTGACATACTCCATGGTGATTGATTGATGATTGGCTCATTGCATCTGAATGGCATGGCTGAGATGCTGGATGGGAAGTTGCACACTCAACTCTATTTGCTTTGTCAAGAACTTTTGTGATAATGTACTTTGTTCTAGTTGGTTTGTACTTTTGTTATCGACTTTATGCCTTGTTGGCTTGGCACGGTGCTGCCATTCAGATATCTCTCCCCTAGTTGGTTTGTACTTCTGTTATCCTTGGTTTGCTTAGTTAGCCCTGTCGCTGGAGTGCCGTTGGGCTGGGCCTCCCTTGTTCCTCTGCTATAGCCTGCTTGTTCTAGGACGACTGCCTTGGTGTGGCTCGTTTTGGTTTGAGGTAATCTCCTATTACCGTTTGTATGAACTATCAACTTTGTCTTAATGAAATACGTGCCTTGTGGCACGGTCGACAAAAATTCAAGACCAAGGAGTACTAGCTTGAATGTCATGTCAAAGAGAAAAGTCTGTTGTCGGTTAACTATACGTGACTGAGCTTTCAATCCTCTTCGTTTTTTTGGCAACATATTTATCTCTCCAGGTGTAGGATCAAGGTGGCCGACCAAATGGAGGGTGAATAGTCATTACCAAAACAAATCTTAAATCTTAGCAGGAAACAAATGATAATTAAACTAACGGCCAGATAACGAATTTACCCCTTCTATTACAATACTAGCACCCTAGGCACAAGATAAGCAAAGTGGCCACTAGGGAGACTAGCATGAGTTCCTACACAAGTCTAGTATGTAAGGAAGCAACCTAGCAACCAGAACAACAAGCAAACCAGAGAGCTCCTACCCGTACTAGTGATCAAAAGAAAAGCAACAAGCTACACTAGTACACAGTGGCGGAGCTTGCATCAAAACCAAGAGGGGGCCATTTCGTAGATGTTCAACGAACAAAGCAGCTAACCTTATGACGGTCAGTGAGAGCAGAGTTGAATTGAGAGATGTATAGACGTATAGTAGAGTAGCAGATCAACTAGATTTTTACTAAGCACGTGGACTAGTGGCTGAGTCTCTAGAAATTTGCATGGAGCAAGCAGGGGCCATCGCCCAGGATGGCCTACACATAGCTCCGCCAGTGCTAGTACAAGCAACTACACTAGCAAGAGATACAACAAGTAAAGAGCTAGTGTAGGGGATGCAAACCACAATGGAGAGGAGACACACTTTTTCTCTCGAGGTTCATTGGCTTGACAACCACCTACAACCACCTATTCCATGTTGAAACGCATCCTAGGATTGCCACTCCTCTTGCTAGCTTAACAAGCCCTCAAACTTGGATTGGACTACCCCGCAAGGTAGGCTCCGACGTGAGTGCTAGACTTGAGCTGGTCGATCACCAAGGCAGTCTTCAAGCCTCCTATCAACTAGAGTTGTTATTTACCTTACTCCTACAAGGACAAGCACAACAACCCCTCACACCTTCTCTGGAGCTATCGCACAATCTTCATGCAATGTATCCACGGAGTTACAGCCACCAGGCCATCTAGGAAGTAGCAACATCCAAGAGTAACAAGCTCACACTCTTGGAAACTGATCACTAGAGGCACTAGGTGCTATCTCTTTCAAAGAAATGCACTAGATCACTCCAATCTCACTACATATGAGATGTCAACTAAGCATATGCGAGTGGAGGTGTTTGTGTTTCTTGGTATCTAATATGTTAGCATATCAGCATAGGGGTCCAAGAGCTTAGCCATGCCTAGCTCAACCCTCTATATATAGCCACCCAACAAACTAGCTGTTACAACCAACAACTATTTTCTGTGAACCCACCGGAAAGTTCAATGGTCACTAACACTGTGTCAGAACTAACCGTTGCCGACACCTTTCCTCTAGTGCTCTCTCTCTCTCTCTCTCTCTCTCTCTCTCTCTCTCCCCGGTGATCAACCACCGAAAAGGTCTTGTGTGATTCTGCGAGAAGGTTTCACCATCACCAAAAAAGTCTTAGACCACCCATTGGAAACCTTCCTCTCTCCGGTGATCAACCACCGAAAAAGTCTTGTGCCTATCCAAACCTTCTGCAGAAGGTTTCACCACCACCAGCAAAATGCGTAGACCACCCATTGGACTTTTTTCATGCTTCCTCCTTCCTTATCATACAACTACGATACACCTCCTGGGCACCCTATTCTCCGGTGCTCAACCCCCACCCACACACACGGGGGAGCGCCGGAATTTCACGGTTCTTTGAAACCTCCGATAGCCCCTCTCTCAAAAAACCTTTTCAAATGTTCTAACTCTCAATCCTTGTCCCACAAGACAACAACACCTTTAGTACCGAGTTAAAATGTTCAAAACCATTTTCACAAAGGTTTTCACTTGCTTCCTTTCCATGGCACTCGATCTAAATGCCCTCTCGAGTTAGATCTCACTTAATGGCACTAGATAACTGATTGCCAAACACATTTGTCATTCTTGATAGTACGTCTATTTATCCTAAACCCGATCAAAGATCTTATGTAAACACCTTAGGCTTGTGAAATGAAATGCCCTACAAATCATACATTTGCCTTCTCTATCCCCTGCCCGAGGAAGAAGAAAGGAGCAAGGAGAGGGAAGGAGAGCCTACGCGCGATATCCCATCCTAGCGTGTCAGGTAGGTTAGCAGGTCAGCGTGTGGCTGACAGCCATGGCAGCAGGGCTGCCGTGCTAGCCCGCCTGGTGCGGTAGTGAGCATTTGCCGTGACAGAGAGTTTGGCGCGGCGAAATGGGTTGATTTTGAAAATAAAAAGCAGATGGGATTAGTTTTAAATTTTCATTTAAAAATGGATAAAAATTAAAAAAAACTAGGCTAATCCTCGGGAGGAAGCAGTGGAGATGAGGAAAAAATCACCTCACGACGAGAAGACACTCAGAATGGGTAGTTCTTGGCCTCTTCGGCTAGGAGAGGAGAGGGGAGCGGCTTAGTAGTATTTGAGTTGTGAACATTAGAATATTTTTTTTTAGTAATTGGAGTTTTTTGGTTAACTCTGTCTCTAAAGGTCATATCACAAACATTTTCCTTGAGGTAAACTGTCAGAGGCAACTAAACCATATTTTATTTGAATGTTTCTTTAATTTAGCACGTTTTGTCTGGACTTGTACTTATGAAAGAGGCTGTTAGCCCGTTAGCATCGCTTGGTGATCATCTTGTTTCTTATGCAGAAATGGATAAGTCTCTACGTCTGACCCCGAACGATTGATGGTGGTGATGGAGAAGCTGAAAACTTGGTTTGCTGATACATCTAGAGCGGCCGACCAGATTATTGATCAGCTGATGTTTACTAGACAGTATATCTGTTGTTGCAACCTTCAGGGACATATCCTTGCTCCTTTGGTCGTGTACCCGTGCAGATGGTGTTATCTCTGCTGATTGCTTGTGTTGCTCTGGTTAGCGCGCTGGTAAACGTAACTGGTAATATACATCTGAATTGTGAACAATCATTAGAAAGTGAATTACTTGTATAATATGTAGACCTGTGTGCTCTGAACAATAGGTGAAAAGATATGTACAAACCGACGGGCTGCAATGCTGCTGCAACCAAACAACGTGGGTATGAACAAGCCTTATCCGTCAGTGTAGCAAACTCCAGGCAGCTGGGCTTGCCATCTTTGTAACGGACCTGAATCCTGATGGTGTAGCCTACCAGGCGACCAGGAAGGAACGAGTGGTAGATTTGTCAGTCCGGCGATCGCGAAAGCCTGGCCCATGCGTTGGCAAGGTCCGGCGCGGCGGCGCCCACCGTGTCAATCAAAAATAAAAAGGTCCGCCGCCCACGTGAGAGGGTGAGACGGCGGATGGGCTCCGCCAGCGCCGCCCAGGCGCTCAGGGTGCGCAAGCGCAACGCAATGACCAAGGAGGCTGACGCGTAGTACATGGCCAACGCGAGACGAGACGTTTGCTGTGGCCGGTTTCCCTTGCCGGCGGCCGCGATGCTCCGGATGTCGTCCGGCAATGCAAACGGAGCAGATGGACGAGCGTGGCCGCATAGCAGTAGTGGCACGGCACGGAGATAGAGCCAAGAGCTGACGCACGAACCAAGAAGAATCTTGTTACCAGCCAGCAGTCAGCCCCAGGAGGCCCCGCAGCGCACCACCGAGAGCGAGAGGAAACAACCACCAAAAAAAGGCAAGGCCGCGTTTAGTTCGGCCGAATTGGCGCCGGCCGAATCACTGTAGCGAGAGGTGTTGTTGCTTTTTATTTTGGTAATAATTGTCTCAATCGTTGACCACCAAAAAAAGTACAACCAAAAGCAATTGGTTTTTGATTTGGTCGGCATTTAGGAAAGCAATGAAGGAAAATTTCTTTTTGGGTCTGCAAAATTTGGAATCGGTAGCAACTAAACATGGCCCAAGGTGGGTTGGTCGGCAAGGAAAGCAATCAAGGATTTGGATTTGGGTCCCCTGTTCATCTAGCACGTGATGCATAATTCCCAATTGCCCATCAGTAGTACTAGTAGTGTCACATCGCAACCGCATGCATCAATGCTTTGATTCACTGGACCAGGAGGGACACGGCCGGCCGCCGTAAAAAGGTGGATATATATCAATCAATTCAATTCAACCGAGGCCTTGTTTAGATTTCAAGTTTTTTTACTCTCTTTCCATCACATTAAATCAGAAATAGAAGAAAGTAGGATGGCTGATTGAACAATAATTATCAAATACAAACGAAAGTACTACAGTATCGAATACTAATTTATAACTACGAACTAAACATGGCACCAGAAAGAGAAAGGGGTGGGTATGTATGCGTGCGGCATGTATCGCCAAAAATCAAAAGTTGGAAACGAGTTGGCTTTGTCTCTTGCTGTTGTCTTGGAACCAAAACGCAGAGATCAGAGAGTGAGATTAGTCAAGATCATCACCTTCATTTGCGTGCGCTTGTTCTGGTCTGGAACCAGAACTTGACCTGGAGGGGCTCCAGCCCCAGCTCCCGGCTCAGCTCCTTGCGCTGCTTGTCGTCCGGGTGCGGGCATTCCTTGAAGAAACTGGTCATCCATGAATCAATCAATTTCAGAGGAACGACGAATTAATTAATGCTTCTAGAAAATATGGAATAAACAAGCAACGACGGCGGAGAGCGGCGACAACATGGGCCGAAGCGGCGGCGGCCGGTGGTCCGACCCGCTGGCCGACGAGTTCGAGTGCAAGTCCGGCAGCGACAACGTGGGCGGCATCTCCTTCTCGAAGCAAAACCAAAAAAACAAACATACTCCTCCGCCTCTAAATATCTATCGTTTTCGCTTTCCGAGAAACAACTTTCACTAAATATATATTAAAAAATATTAATATTTATGATACATAATTAGTATCATTGAATAGATATTTGAATCTAGTTTTTTAATAAATTTATTTAGAAATAGAAATATTGCACGTATTTTTTATAAATCGAGTCAAAGTTATCAACACGTAAATCGTGACGACTAACGTTTAGAGACGGAGTGAGGAGCATTCAAGAAGCAGGACTTTTGCGTTCACACTGAACTTCCGCCGTCGTTGCTTGTTTATTCCATATTTTCTAGAAGCATTAATTAATTCGTTGTCACTCACAAAATACTCATCTTTTCCTCTGAAATTGATTGATTCATGGATGACCAGTTTCTTCAAGGAATGCCCGCACCCGGACGACAAGCAGCGCAAGGAGCTGGAGCCGGGAGCTGGGGCTGGAGCCCCTCCAGGTCAAGTTCTGGTTCCAGAACAAGCGCACGCAAACGAAGGTGATGATCTTGACTAATCTCACTCTCTGATCTCTGCGTTTTGATCTTGAAATTTTGGGGCTGCGTTCAACGGCAAGGCAGGCGCGCGCGAGCGTCGTCACAACTACTTCATTTAAGCCTCTGACCTAGCGTCTGGCAGGCAGCATTCATGGCCTATTACTATGGCCATGTTTAGTTCCCCCAATTTTTTGAAGTTGTCACTATAAAAAAAAGATTCATCGTCACATCAAACTTGTGGTACATGCATGAAGTACTAAATATAGACAAAATCAAAAACTAATTGCACAGTTTGATTGTACTTTGCGAGACGAACATTTTAAGCATAATTAGTCAATGTTTGGGCAATTATTATCAAATACAAACGAAATGTTACAGTGCGCTACAGTGCACTCTGAAAATCCGGCGGCGCCAGCTTTGACCGGAACTAAACGCGCCCTATAAGTGGACAAACAGCTGTTGTTATTTGGAGTGGTATTGGTGGGTGGTCTTGCCACCCCTCTCACGCTGGCAATCGTGTTGTTCTCTCATACTAAACTAAACCATCAATAATAATCCACGATCCAAGCCAAAGAAGGTCTTAATAGGAAAGCTTGGCCACACACCCCATGTCCTCTTCTCGCATGCAAGTAAGCCGCCAAATGTCTTTGCCAGCCACCCACCCGCCACGAGCTACGTGATTGCGAGCTCGGCGCCACCCATGAGCTTTGGCGCGCGAACTCCGCGTCATGTGATCACGCCGAACTCCCTGTCATGTCACCGTCACGTTAGCTTCGAGCCCAAGAGCTCGGCGCCGAGCAGTGTAAGCTTGGTGCCAGCAACGATGGCGCCGAGATAAGGGTCTAGATTCTAAAATCTTTCCTTCAGAAACGTATTTGTGATTTTTTTTAAAAAGAAGGCTAAAAAAATAAAAAATTCAGGGAACGAGAGCGAGAGGAAACAACCAAAAAAAAAAAGGCAAGGTGGGGTTGGTCGGCAAGGCACTCAATCAAGGATTTGGATTTGGGTCCCCCTGTTCATCTAGCACGTGATGCATAATTCCCAATGGCCCATCAGTAGTACTAGTAGTGTCACATCGCAACCGCATGCATCAATGCTGATTCACTGGACCAGGAGGGACACGGCCGGCCGCCGTAAAAAGGTGGATATATATCAATCAATTCAATTCAACCCAGAAAGAGAAAGGGGTGGGTATGTATGCGTGCGGCATGTATCACCAAAAATCAAAAGTTGGAAACGAGTTGGCTTTGTCTCTTGCTGTTGTCTTGGCGGCTCAGACGGCCATGATTCCGTTCCCAGCATAGTTATGTTACCGGCAATTCAGCACGCCTTGCCGTCTTCCAAATCAGGCCTCGTTTGGGAAGCCCGAACCACGGGGCAACCCAGCCTTTTTCCCTTGGGCGTGCCCCCCACGCGGAAATCAGGCACGGGTTAAATCTACCCAACGTTTGGAAGCGCACGCGAGGCGTCGGCGCTGCCCCAACCCCGGGCGTATCCCTGGGCGTGGCTCCCTGGCCTTGGACGTCCAGTTATGTTACCGGCAATTCAGCACGCCTTGCGGCTAAGGATGGCAACGGGTATAGGCCTCGTTTGGGAAGCCCAAACCATGGAGGGGCATCCCGGCCCATTTTCATTGGGCGGGTATAGATTCTTGCCCATCCGGAAATCAGGTATCGGGTTAAATCTACCCAACGTTTGGAAGCGCACGCGATAAACAAGGACACTTGGGGTCGCTGCTTTGCAATCGGAGACGTTTTTTTTCACCTAGGTATAAGTGCTGAGTCTCGGAGATGCGAGGAGAAGGAGCGAGGTTGGCGAGAGGACGAGCATCCCGGCCGAGAAAGCGAGGGGCACGAAAGCGCTCGTGAGATTGGCGTGGCTTGGCGGAGATGGTGAGAAAAATTGGACGATGGTTCCTAGGCGTCGATTTGGACCAAAATATCTATGTTGAGCCTTTGGACCTAATACTGCATGTGCGAGCGAGCGCCGCACGTTTCGCTATACTCAACATTCTTCATTTAGATATCATGTAAAGATATGAGCACCATTCTAATGAATCAAATATCGGCGATCGGTTCGGGTCCCGTTGCCATCCTTAGCGCCGGCACTCGCTACTCAACAACTCACGTCATGTGGCCGAGCACCTTCGCTGCTATCGGCCTTTCCTCTCGCAGCACTCCATGCCAGGAAGGATCGGGACGGGGAGGGGAAGCCAAAGAGCAACAGGAGATAGGGGAGGGAAATAGCAGGGATTGATTAGTCCACCAAAATCCCGAAGGAAGCCTGAAAGATCCCAAATGCTTAGTTCGGGCAGCAGCAGTGCAAGCGAACACTAGCTAGTGGTCTCAAGTAAAAGAAAGATCCACGTAGATCAAGCAGCAGCAGAGTATGAAATGCCACAACGCAGGCACAACCGGTATATACGACCATTAAGAGTTATCAACGTTTTCCAATCGGAAATCAGCGATCGCTTTCTTCATTTAGCTACTCCTTACGTTTGTTTGTATTTCGCCACACTGTCGACAGCTCTATCTTCAACCGGCAGTCAGCTTTAATACCAGCTGAGCTTGATTGCTCTCCAGTCTACAGTCTACGAGACGAGTCAAAGTCGTCGGCCCGCTGAGCGCTGATTCGACCAGACCAAACCACCACCACCGCCCGTACCCGGACACAGATGCGTTCACACCTCCCTCCCACTGCCTGGTGCTCCCCGTGTCGGCATTCGCCATTCGGCAGCTGAGCACCACACTAGACTTCCTACAGTCAGGGGCTGGGCGACTTTTCTCTGCCGACCCGGCCTGGACCCGACGGCGTGACGTCACCGCCGTGACGTCGCGCGCCTGGTCACGGCCCGGCTTGATTACTTCACCGTCCCTCTCCGCCCACGCCCGCCGCCGCTACACTACACTGGAAAGGCGCACGTCCTTCTCCTCCCGGAAACGGCCAAGAAAGGGGTGGGATACTAGATTGATAAAAAAAAGCGCGAAATTTCTCGATAAGGGAAAGGGGAACACGCTTCTGCCATCGCTTGGCTTGCTTTGCTTCCCTCTGCCGGGCTACCGCGTGAGCTTGGGCTTCTGCTTGCTTCCCCTCTGCTGTGCTCTGTCACGGGGATTCTAGTTCTACTGATTTGAGCTTGGTCTCAGTACCGAATCTTCCCCCCCAATTTTTTTTTCTGTTTGCTGGGCATTCCCTTTTGAATCTGAGATTCCTGCTGGGTTTAGCAGCGTCCGTCCTCGCGCTTGGCGAATTCGCGGTGTTTACGCTCGGATGCTTCAACTAGCAGCCGCAAAATCCCCGTGCAAAAGGCTTGAATCTTTGGAGCAAGAGGGAGGCTTTCCATCTCTCAGGCCCTCCCAAAGCTCGGTAGCTTGAATCATGGACCACACGGAGAGTTCCACAACGTTGTAGTCGCCGCCGCCGCCGCCGCGGGCTGTGGGCTGTCCTCATCCTAACCCTCCATGGAGGTCTCCACCATCAGCTTCTCGTCCCCGTCGCCCCCGTCCCTATCCCCTTCCCCGCCGCCGCCGCAGCAGCAGCCGCCGCGGTCCACGCCGGCGGACCTCGAGGCCGTGGGCCTCCGCCGCCTCAGCGACAACCTGCAGCGCCTGCTGGACCCGGCCTTCCTCAACTGCGCCGACGCCGAGATCGCGCTCTCACTGGCCAAGGGCGGCGCCGCCGTCGGCGTCCACCGCTGCATCCTCGCCGCCAGGAGCGCCTTCTTCCTCGACCACTTCGCCTCCCTCCCGGCCCCGGCCGCCGGCGGCGAGAGGCCCCGCCTCGAGCTCGCCGACCTAGTCCCCGGCGGGCACCACATCGGCCACGACGCCCTCGTGCCCGTCCTCGGCTACCTCTACACCGGCCGCCTCAGGTCGCCGCCGCAGGAGGCCACCGTCTGCATGGACGACGCGTGCGGCCACGGGACCTGCCGCCCCGCGATAGACTTCGTCGTCGAGTCCATGTACGCCGCGTCTGGCTTCCGGATCTCCGAGCTTATCTCCCTCTTCCAGGTACACTCACCGCTGACCAAACATATAATTTAGCTGCAAAATGTGTAACGGGACACTCCATTAACCCACTGGTGCTTGCAAATTGTTTGTCCTTCCATCCATGCTGTGACGAAAATTTGCAATTCTGACCACCACGAATTCTCTTGCTGCAGCGCCGTCTCTCTGACTTCGTTAGCGAAGCGCTGGACGAGGATGTGGTGCCGATTATTCATGTTGCTTCCACCTGCGACCTTCAGGACCTGCTCAATCAGTGTATCCAGAGGGTTGCAGTCTCCACTCTCGATAGCCGGTACCTCGAGAAGGAGCTTCCAGATGACATATACTGCAAGATAAAGGAAATCCGCCAGAGCGCGTTTCATGACGAAGCATTAGAGAATGCCATTCTGGACCCTGAGCATGAGAAGAGGGTTAGAAACATCCTCAAGGCCTTGGATTCTGACGACGTTGATCTTGTCGGCTTGCTGTTGAAGGAATCGACGGTGACCTTGGATGATGCATTCGCAATACACTATGCTGCAGCCTACTGTGAGCCCAAAGTGTTTGCGGAATTGCTGAAACTGGATTCTGCTAACGTGAATCTGAAGAACAACAGCGGATATACACCACTGCACATAGCTTGCACGAGGAGAGAACCGGACATCATTCTTTCGCTCGTGGAGAGGGGAGCCTCTGTGCTGGAGAGGACCCTAGATGGGCGTGATGCTCTTACTATCTGCAAGAGACTAACAAGAGAGAAAGACTGCAATAGGAAGTTGGAGAAGTACGAGGAGAAAAGTAAGGCTTACTTGTGTATCGACATATTGGAGCAAGAACTTAAGAGGAAATCCTTCATGTTGGATCTAATCTCTATAGAGGAGTCGATTGCCACGCCTTTGTTAGTTGATAATTTTCACATGAGGCTCATTAACTTGGAAAACAGAGGTTTGCTTATAATCCCTCTAGTCTTAATTATTTGTTGATTAATACTTTGCCTTTATAGTTTTCCTCATCCGGATCTCTAAGACCACTAAAAGGCAATTAGTAGGGGTACTTGGTGGAAAATAGTGCATTGTAAATCAAAACTACTTCTATAGGGAATCAAAATCATCTTCCTAAAATGTTACTATTTATTTTAGACTGCAGGGGTATTTATCTTGATTTTACCATCTTGGCGTTAGTCATATCTGCAGGAACTAGTCTAAGATTTGTACTCATGCATAATGATTTTAGCTCAATTTGTGCCACTGAAGCCTAGCTTAGATAGACGGTGCTTTGAGAATCTCTCGTTTTTCCTCCACTTAGGTTGAGAAGTATATGGTCTGACTGGCTTAGTTTGCAACATTCACACTAGGATTTTTTTTGCATTAATTACATTGCTTCTATGTTCGAATAACGTATACATCAAAGATTAGTTACTGAATAACTATTTCCTTTAGCTGGATAAAAAAGTCGAGTATGCTGTTATACTCGACATGATATAGATGTATTTCTGAGTATGTGCTGTTGGTTTGCCTATTTCTGATTGAAACTAAAGCATATTATTCTGAGAATCATCGCTGAAGTCTATATGTTAATATCTATGCAGTTGCGTTTGCACGAATATTCTTCCCTTCGGAAGCCAAGCTTGTCATGCGCATTGCACAAGCTGATTCAACCGAAGAATTTGCCGGCATCACCAATTTCAGCAAACTAAAGGAGGTTGATCTAAATGAAACCCCTACAATGCAGAATAGGAGGTTGCGTGAACGCCTTGATGCCTTAACAAAGACAGGTGCCAGCAATAGCTATCTATGCCTTGTTTGTAATACAAAATCGTGCATGCATACTAAAATTTCTCAGTACTGAATATTTCGTGGTATTCTTTTCTTTTTTGCCAAAACGCAAGCACACTTATACTAGTTGTTTCCTAGTACTGAATCTTTCATGGCATTTGGTCAGTATGCTATAATTTTTAATGTTCTGTTTCACATTTCTGCAGTTGAGCTAGGGAGACGATACTTCCCACATTGTTCAGATGTTCTTGACAAGTTCCTCAACGAAGAATCCACTGATCTGATCTTTCTTGAAACTGGGACTCCAGAGGATCAGCGAGTCAAGAGAATGCGCTTTTCTGAACTCAAAGAGGACGTGCGCACGGCATTCACAAAAGATAAGGCAGCCGTCGCAGCCATAGCTTCCTCAGCATCCTCGTCTTCGTCTCCGAGGTGTGAAGGGAGGGGTAGATCCAATAGGAAATTGAGGCCATCTCGGTGATATCAGTAGTTGAGAAGCAAACTGTTCAGGACACGTGTGACTTTGAGGACGGTGGCGAAGGACGGCTTTGTTGTATGTTGTTTTGACGACGTGTAGCACAGTGAAGCAATTGGGCCCAGCTTGACGAGAATTCCCTGTAGCTGTTGTGTTTTGACATGTAACACTGTTTCAGTAGATAATTTCCACGTGCTGATTGTCAGCTTTGCAGCCACTCTACTTGTCTTGCATGTTAAAACTGCTTTTGGGGTGGGAAATAGAACATTAGTGCTATTGTGCTAATGTATCTGGATCCTCTCGTAGAAAATAGTTGTATGCCTGTCGATATGTAAAAGGTACATACGTCCTTATAGAACGACTTTGATAGAAACCAGAAGATTTATTATTGCACTCAAATAGAGGAATTTGGCAACCGTGTGTTTCAGTGGTTGAACTTGATAGAATTATTCAGTCTTATACTAGTGTTTTTGAGGCAAAATGGCGGTGCAGTCTACTGTCAACTGTCTACCTTGAACCTTCTCATTAAAGCAGTTATCCCAGCTGGAAGAAAGTTGGTTGCACTACATGGTTCTTTATAAAGGACTACTGAAAATCGTCCTGTTATCAATTTGTGCGAACTCTGGAGAGACATTCAATGAAAGTAGGATAGATACCTCCAAGAGTCCATATTTTCTTGTGGCTTTTGGCTAATAATAAGTTGATGACCAGAGACAATCTGGGCAAAAGAAAACATGTTGAAGATGTCACATGTTTGTTCTGTTTTGAACCTGAATCCATTATTCATCTATTTTTTTTAGTGTTGTGTTAGCAGAGTGGTCTGGAAAGAGGTCTCAGAAATAGTTGATCTCCATTTAGGAGGAAATTTTGAAAGTACTGCTAGATGGTGGATTAGTAAGAAAAAATTTGACATTATGAATGTGTGTACTCCTGCTACTTTATGGTCTGGAAAGTAAGGAATGCACTTTGTTGTCAGGGGGAGCTATGGAGGTGTGCCCTTGTGGTTCGGAGTTGTGATGAGTGATTGTCAACGTGATTCGCGTCTTGGGTTGAATTTGTGAACTAAACATGGTGTGAGTTGGGTTGTGCAACATGTCTCTTGGCTTGTAGTGCGTAGGTGTGGAGCTCGGAGGAGGTGGTCGACGGTGAGGTGAAGGTCAAATAGGGACGTGCTGTGCCGATGGACTAGGAGCGGTGAAGTATGGACGTGAGTCTTGGACTGAGGGACCAGGAGGCCGGGTGACCCGCCGCGGTGGCTGACACTTGGGGACATCGACAAGCGCAAGTGTATATGGAGGAGTGACCGTGTTGACCGAGTCAAGACGACGGACGTGCAAGTCGAGCGGAGGCTCTGGAAGACTTGGCGGCCGGGCGGTCAAGAACGAGGTGACACGCGTCTAGTGGGGGACGCGTATGGAGTATGCTACTCGCGGACGGTTTGGTGGTTTGGGCCTCAAAACCCGGACGGAGGTTCCGAGGATGAACGGGGCGGCACGTGGCGGAATCACAGAGGTTGCGTCAAGGCGAAGCAAATCTATGAAGGAAGCGTGATCGTCCGATCTACAGAAAAAGAGTTGGACCACTACGTCCTCGGGTCGAGTGGTTCGGCTATAGTTGTTCATGCAGCCCGAGGCACGACGGCACGGCATGAAGCCCGCTTTTTTAGCCCAACACGAGCACGGCCCGGCCCGGCCCAAGGGAGCGGGCCGTGCCTGGGCCGCTGCTCAGGCTCGTGGGCTGGCACGGCACGGCCCGGCCTACCCCTCCCCTCCTCACTCATCCTCCCCTCCCCAAGGCCCAGCGTGGCGCCACGGCCCAGCGCGGCTAGCCCACCTTCCCCGCCTCCCCCCCTCCGCATATAAAAGCGCACGGGCCGGCTCCACAGCGCAAGCTCGTCCTCGCCTGGCTCGCCCTCCGTCCCCCTTTCCCACACGCGCCGTCCCCCTTTCCCACACACGCAAACTCGCCCTCGCCTGGCTTGCTCCTCCGTCCTTCCTTCTCCACTCCGTCGCTGAGGTGCGCCGTCGTGGGCTCGGGGCTCCTCACCTCCGCTCGCCGGTCGGGATCCAGATCCGACGACCGGCGTGCCGCCCGCCCCCTCTGTGGAGTGCCCTTACGGCCCTACCTCCTCTTGCTGCACGCTGCCGGATCCTCCTCGGTGGCGTCCACCGTCACCTCCTGCGAGCTGCCCCTGCCTCCTCCTGCCACGCGCGGGTGCGCGGCGGCCGCCTCCAGCTGGATCCGCCTCGGGTGCGCGGCGTCGAGCTCAGCAGCAGCAGTAGCGTCGAGCGGGCGGCCTCCTCCATCCTCCACGGATCCGGCCTCCTCCATCCTCCTCCTAGCTCCTACCGCTGGATCCGGCGTGCGCGCCCTTGACCGCCACCTCCCGACTTGACGGCTCAGCAGCCGGCGACCTCCCCCCCGCCTCTCTCTCTCTCTCTCTCTCTCTCTTGGGCTGTGGTTGCGGGCTTCGGGATGGCCCGGTCCGCACGGCCGCACTCGCACCCCGCTTCTCCCCACGCGCGACGCGGGAGACAGGCCTCCTGCCCTCCGTGCCACCCGCTGCTGCCGCCGCCGCCGTTTTGACCTCATCCTCCGTCCTCTCTCCCTTCCCCTGCTGATGCGGACCTCGAGCCGACCTGGCCTGTTAAAAAGGTCGTGCTTTCCGGGCCGGCCTGGCACGGAAAGTGGCCCGACAGGGCGTGCCTGGGCTGTCGGCTAGGCACGGTGGACTCGGGCGGCATGGCCCAGCGGCCCGTCGTGCTCTACCGTGCCATGTCCTCGGGCCGGGCCGGGCGGCCCGAATGGCCATCTTTAGGTTCGGCTCAAAATATCTAGGGGCAAGTTGGTCATGTGTAATAGCTAAGCCCTATAAATAAGGGAGGGGTTGCTCCAACCAACCTCACATCATGAGCATTTTTTTCATTTTCTCATTCTAGTTCTCCCTCTCCTAGGGTTTGTTCTTGAGGTCCACAAATTACAAATTTGTGTAAACTGAGATTCTTGTGTGGGAATGGAGACCTGAATCCTCGTCTTGTCCTCCGGGTTTCATCACTTATGTCTGTGATGTTCGCGTGCTTTTTCAGCCTGTTTTTCCTTCCCCTTTCTTGCTTCGATTCGTCTGAGGGCGTTTTGGTTCGTTCTTTTTTATTTGATTCGTGCAGGGACATGAATTGATGCTACTCCATGAAGGAATTTGATTGAATCAACTCGAGCATGACGAATCAAACCGATTTTCCTTTTGGGGGAAAAACTGTGTTCTTGCACGCAATCTAAAATTCACGGACGTGGAGTTCAAATTGGGCTATGATTTCTGGGGGATAGCTTCTCTCCTCCGTTGTGATTGCCTGTGCCAAATTTGAGTTCATTTCGTGGAGTTTTGATCGAGTTCCGTCGATTTTTCCGATCGCTTCCTCTTGCTGTTCTTGCGTGCGTGCGCTGCGTGCTAAGCCTCAAGCACTAGCTCTTGCAACCTTCCCAGAAAACCTACAAGGAAACTTTCCGAAAACCTTCCTAGAAAACTTTCCCAGAAAACTTTCGGGAAACTTTTCCAGAAAACTTTCCGGAAACCTTCCCTAAAAAACTTTCTGGTAACCTTCCCAGAAAACTTTTGGGAAACTTTTCCAGAAAACTTTCCGAAAACCTTCATTGCAAACTTTTCGAAAACTTTCACGGCAACCTTTCTGGCAAACCTTCGGTAAACTTTTGGAAACCTTCAGCAACTTTTCCGGAAACCTTCCGCCGCAACTCTCCAGCTGAAATCTTTTAAGTTGCAAATTTCCAAAAAACCTTCCCAGGAAACTTTCAGCAGCAACCTTCCAGAAAACTTTGAGCTTCAACTTTTCAACAACTCTGAGCTGCAACTTTCAGCAACTTTGCAGCAGCTTCCTGTGTTTCGATTTTGGGGTTGTGTTTGGGACAGTTGTTTAAGTTTTTGAAAGAAGTTTTTGGCTCCCGTTCACCCCCCTTTGGTCGCCTTTTCGGTCGTTCAGGAGGGATGTTCTAACTAAGAAGATAGATGGCACTGTTAGAGGGAGAAAAAAAGACAACAACCTTTTTAAAAAAAAAGACAACTAGAGAGCTAAGCCGGAAAACTCGAGGAGAAGGCAAAACAAGTGGTGTGGTTGCAGTGGCTAGTGGGACTGGACAAATACCACAAGTGGAGTCAATTCAGTTCATGAGAAACCCAGAGCCTGTGCTCATGTGATGCATAATGCAGTAGCTTTGGAATGCTATCCAAGTAGTGTTAGCTGTTAGGATGCAGAGGTCTTTAGTCCCTGAGGACTCCTATCCGCATGGTGATTTTGACAGGTGCGCCTCAAATACATTGAACTCGGATGCTGAAAACTACGTTTTATTCTCATAATAAAACAGGGGAAACCTGCTTTTCTAAAAAAAAGTAGGATATTTCCATTTCAGGTCAGCTGTTTTAGCAAAATAAGTAGTATATACTGAACAAATGGTAGGCAAGATATGCTCTTTGCATTAGAACAACCGCAAGGTAGCCAAAAAAAATAGTCCATAGGATTATAATATTATGTACCAACTACTTGAAATATTGTGGGCTTGATAATAGGTTGGTCTATAGTTAAAGATAGCCATAGTGTCATGGACTGTCCATAAGAAATAAAAAAAATCATTTTATCTGTTCCTCCGGTTCTCATGGGGCTTTTACATTTTTACCATTATTAAGATTGTCGCTCATCCGATTATCACTCTTAGGATGGTACTTACAAGTTTGCCAGATGAGAGAAGTTTGAGTTTATAATTTACCACATTTGCGCATGTGGCAAGCCACGCCAGCCCGACACGCTGGCGCCCAGTCAGCAGGCGTAGGTAAAATGTCATCGCTGCCCCTGCCCATTTTCTTCATTACGCCGCATCCCACCCGCTCATTTCGTCCCTCGCTCATTTTGTCCCCATCCCACCCGCCGCCGCCGACGCGTTCTTCCCCCGCGCCGCCGCCGCCTCCTGCTCCCCTCCCGCCGTCCCTGCGCCACGGTGACCGCATTGAAGGTATGTGGCCTTAACCCCCCCCCCTTTGCACCCAGGTCCCGTGTCCATTAGGGTTTAGGGTTAGGGTTCATGGACGCTGACTTTGTCTTCCTCGGTTGATTGTTTCGTAGGCTTGTGATGTAGTGGGAGAGGTGGTGTCAACCCGTGTCACAATGGCTAGCAGCAGTGATTGCCCTCCTTGGTAAGTGCTTAATCAACCTAGCAGTCTAGGCAGAATTGGAGGAGTTGGGTACCGTCTAACTCATTTCTTTCATTGTTTACCATGATGCCAGGATCGATCCTAGCAATGCGTTTAGACTAGTCGTTAAGGTTGCTAAATTCGTGGCTGATGGTGAGTATGGGCTAGTTGAAATGGCAGAGCAGCAGCATGACTTATGGTTGGATAGGAACTGTCAGTATTCTATGGCTCAATTCTAGGAGGATTTAGCCACAAAGATAATCTGGGGGCCAACTCAAACACTTGCAGTGTGGGTTGTTGACCAAGATACTGGGTCTGAGTGGAAGATTAGGAGGGATGAGCATTTCCAACAGATGATTAAGGACAGATGGGATGAGAGGTTGGTTGTTATTGCAGTAGATGTTGTGAGGAAGGATGGTTCTAATGCAAATGTCAGCTCTGGTGCTTCTAAAGCTAGATGTGTCTCTGGTGTCATAAGTGGGCCAACTGGTGGCTCACATGTTGTGCATGATGATGCTGAAGGTTGTGGTGATACCTGCAGTTCCCTAGCAGAAACACCTACTGATTTGCCTATAGCAGTTGACTGGACTACTCTAACAATAATAGGGTAGCCTGATGATGATGGTTTAGCAAAAGAGGTTGCTGATGAGGACAAGGTTTATGAGGCAATGGGGTTCATGGAGTCAGAGACAACAACAGAAGGATCTAGAGAAGAGGTGCCCATTCCAGCTATGTCAGTAGATATGCATGCAGATATGAATGAGGTAGTTGTTAATGTTGATGATACAGTTGATGTAGAACCAATGCATGAATGGGATAGGGACAATCCTGATATGAGTGTTGGCACATGCTATCCCAGCATGGCTGAGTTTAGGCTAGCTGTTAGGCAGCATGCTATAATTAAGGAGTTTGAGTATGATACTGAGCATTCAGGCAAAGAAAGGTTCAGGGCTAATTGTGCTGCTCTAGGCTGCCCATGGATTCTTAGAGCTATAACCCAACATGATGGCAGTGTCAGGGTACAATTTTTTTTATTGTTGAATAACATCTTTTTCTGTGTTTGTTGAATGTTGCTTTTTTGTTGCCCTCATATGTCCTTTTGTTTTTATTATACAGATTCAAATCAATCAGGGGGTTCATAACTGTGCATCTACACAAAGGATTGTCAGCAGGATGGCATCTATAGCTTGGGTGGCTGAGAGAGCAATCCCCTACCTCAAGAGGAACCCACAAATGGGGGCTAAAGAACTCAAAGAAGAGCTGAATTACAAGTATAAGATTGACATCCCCTACCAGATAGTGTACAATGGGAGGCAGAGAGCATCAGATAAGTTATTTGGTAAATGGAATGATTCTTTCGATTATTTGTTTAGATTTAAGGCTGAGATAGAGCTGAGATCACCTAGAAGTGTTGTAGAGATAGACACTGTGACTGATCCTAAGGATGGGAAAATTAGGTTTAGCAGATTCTTCTATGCATTCAGGGCTAGTATAGATGGATTCTTGAATGGCTGCAGGCCTAACATAAGTGTAGATTCCACTGCACTTAATGGGATGTGGAATGGCCACATGCCTGCGGCCTTAGCTTTAGATGGCCACAATTGGATGTTTCCTCTAGCCTTTGGATTGTTTGACTCAGAGACAAAGGAAAACTGGGTCTGGTTTATGGAGCAACTTAGGAAGGCCATTGGACCCATGGATAAGCTAGCTATCTGCACTGATGCATGTAAAGGGTTGGAGTCAGATGTTAGACTAGTATTTCCACAAGTAGAGAAGAGAGAATGTTTCAGGCACTTAATGGAGAACATGAAGAAATACTACACTGGTGATGTGTATGGCAAAAACATGTGGCCTGCAGCTAGAGCTTACTCACCACATAAATTCAAGTACTTTTTTATAAAGTCTTCCAAGCTAGTCCAGATGTGTAGAAATGGCTGACAGAGCATCATCCTTTTCTGTGGGCTAGAAGTAAATTCTCATAACACATCAAGTGTGACTATATCAACAACAATTTAGCAGAATCATGGAATAGTTGGATCAAAGAGCACAAAAACCTTCCTGTGCATTGCATGGCAGATGCAATCAGAGAGAAGATAATGGTCTTGTTTGCCAAAAGGAGGAAGATTTCAAGGGCCCTCCCACCTAGTATATTACCTGGGATCATCCATCAACTAAATGTAGCATCCAGGGGACTTGGACACCTGACCATTTCCAAGGGGCACCCAAATCAGGCTGAGGTTACAGAGATCTACAAGGATGAAGAAGTGAGAAGGCATGTTGTGTACCTAGTTGACAAAGTTTGCACATGTAGACAGTGGCAGATAACTGGTCAACCATGTCCCCATGCCTTGGCTGTGATTACTAGCACCAGGCAACCAGACATGGCCAAATTTGTGGATCAGTATTATTCAGTTCAGAAGTTTCAAGCAGCATATGAGGGTATCATTCCTAATATCACTGATAGGAACTAGTGGCCTGAGGTAGACAAAGGGTTCAAACTACACCCTCCATGCTAGAAGAAGAGAGAAGTAGGAAAACTGAGGAAAAATAGGATCAAGTCTACAAAGGAGACAGGTGGTAAGGCAACAAGGCAAGTGAGGTGTCCTAACTGCAGTGAGTATGTCCATAGGGGTGGTAGCTGGAAATGTCCACTCACTGGCACCAAGAAAAGGTACCTTCTCAATTCTTTTTTATTTGTTATATTACAATATGAAACTGATCCTATCATTATTGCAGGAAGAGAGCAAAGAAGACCACAGTCAAGGTTGGGAGGAAAAAAGCCAAAAAAGGTACCACTACTGAGGAAGCACCAACTCCAAGGACCAGAGCAACTGTTGCAAGGGAGGCAGCAGCAAAGGCTAAGAGGGAGGCTCTAGAACTAGAGCTAAAGGCAACAGCAGCAAGGGAAGCAGCCCAACCAGCAGCAAGGGAAGAAGCAGAAGCAGCCCAAGCAGCAGTAGCAAGGGAAGCAGCCCAAGCAGCAGCAGTAAGGGATGAATTTTCATCAACTCAAGCACATGAACAGGTGATGGAGGTGATGGCTTTAGAAGTTTAGCTCCCAGAGATAGGTATTCATACCACAACAGCTAGGAGGTACTGCTCTTCTTCCACTGACAGCATGATAATTGATAATGGATTACCTGTGTAATAAATCAATCATTAATCAAACTTTATTTTCCACGGGTCCTTATTTGCTGAAGATGCACTGGAGGTTGAAGTGCAGCCACCTAGGAAGATGACTCCTAGGAAAAAGCAGTTGGCAACTAAGGTGAAGAAGACACCGCACGAGACAAGAGGAGGAAAGAGAAAGACAGGAGCCTGACTAGTCTTGTTTTGCCAAGATCACGAACTTTCATTATTTTGCAAAAACAATATTATGTAATGATGGGAGCTGAACTTTTTTGTTCCCATGGGTTTTTGGAGGCTTTGTGATGAGCATCATCTGGTTCTACATCATTGCTAATGAACTGGTTGCACTTTTGGTTGCTTTGGTTGTTATACTGGGAATTAATCCTTCAGTACTTGGGCTAACAATGTTAGCATGGGGGAATTCAATGGGTGACTTGATGTCAAATGTCACTTTAGCGATGAATGGAGGCGACGGCGTGTAGGTTGCTCTCTGTTGGCCTTGGGCATCCGTGCTGTCTGAGTCCATGAATAGGCTATACTCCTTGATGATTTCTGTTTCCTCCCACCTTATCAAGCTCGTGCACGGGCTCCTTGACACCTACCCTAGCAACCTCGTATTGCCGATAATTCTAGGAGGTCATGGATTGTTATTGCAGTTTCTTGGCAATGGCGGTGTTGGATGGAAGGCCAGGAAACAAAAGGGTGCACTTGGATGTAATGTGGGTTTGGAAATGGAAATGAAATGGTATAGGAAGAGGTGAGTATGGTATATAAGACCATTCCTTTGTTTCGTATGAGATGATCAGATGGGTTTGGATAGAAAATGAGTACCAAATGACCATGATATCCCTTACAGAAATAGAGAGCCAATCAAAGTAACATAACTGAGGAAAAACAAGAAAAATATTGTAATTTTATATGTTTGTTACTCATAATATCCCACCTATCACCACAGGTTTCAAATTTGGGCAAAACACTTGGGAAATGCTACTTTCTAAATGTGTGCTCTGACGCTTCTTTGGCCAAGCCGGTGAACGGGCCTGGTTGGTGGTGACGGGCTCTTTGGGAATAACATGAAGATGTGTAGAGGACAACACAGTTCAAAGTTTCATTGCAAATGGTTCATACATCATGTTCAATTCATTTTCAAACACATTGCTACAAATCAAGTCATTACAAATGATCTGACAACAATTCCAAACACAACAATTGCAACAACAGCAATGAAACAGTTCATTTTCCACATCAGGTTCTCCATCTTCTCCAGGTCCTTCTCCTTATGGTTAGCATATTCACTGCCCTCTGATCCTTCTTCTAGTTCCTCGACCTCCTTAGAGTTGATAATGAGGATCTTCTTATCAATCAGCTCATCTAGGTACTCCTTCTGGAATCTGTAGAATCCACACAATTTCGGATTCTGCAAACACCATTTCATGATTGTTAAACTCTAGATTTCAAACAAAGAAAGCAAGAGAGATGGAGACACAGCAAAACTAACCCCATTCCTAGGGCACTTGAAAAAGCTCCGGCCCTTGTTCGGAGTGTCCTGCTTGACGCGAAGCTCGATCACACGGGCTAGATGGCAATCCGGACATTGAATCAAAGGAAGCCTAGTTTCTTTACCGACTGGATACGCCACAACATGCGCGCGCACGGAGCTCCCGCCTCGTTCCTGCCTCCTCAACGCCCTACTGGCACTGGACGACTCCACCCTCTATGACCAGCAATCACTACTGCTAGCCATTGTTACACGGGTTGACACCACCTCTCCCACTACATCACAAGCCTACGAAACAATCAACCGAGGAAGACAAAGTCAGCGTCCATGAACCCTAACCCTAAACCCTAATGGACACGGGACCTAGGTGCAAAGGGGGAGTAAGGCCACATACCTTCAATGCGCTCACCAGGGGTCCTGCTCACCAGATGTGGTCACCGTGGCGCAGGGACGACGGGAGGGGAGCAGGAGGCGGCGGCGGCGCGGGGGAAGAACACGTCGGCGGCGGCGGGTGGGATGGGGACGAAATGAGCGAGGGACGAAATGAGCGGGTGGGACGCTGCGTAATGAAGAAAATGGGCAAGGGTAGCGATGACATTCTAGGCGCCAGCGTGTCGGGCTGGCGCATGCGCAAATGTGGTAAATTATAAACTCAATCTTCTCTCATCTGGCAAACTTGTAAGTGCCATCCTAAGAGTGATAATCAGATGAGCTGCAATCTTAATAATGGTAAAAATGTAAAAGCCCCGGTTCTCATCGGGTCTCGCCAACGGCTCAGTCGACCCCGGCGCTGCCAGGCCATCGTCGTCGGCGTCCGCGCGTCGCAAGGCCATCGTCGTTGGCGTCTGCGCGTCACCAGGCCATCCTCGTCGGCATCCGTTGGACGTGGGGACTCCACCTTTGCCTCCGATGTACGATCCGCGCTTCAGCGAGGTCGCTGCCGTAGGCATCCGCGCGTGCCCCAGCGAGGTTGACGCGCGCGGGCATCTCTGTACCAGACCTAGGCATCCGCGCCCCGGCGAGGTCGCCGCCGGTCAGCGTAGATGCAGCAGCATCCATGAGGTCGCCGCCTCGGTCCTCCAAGCCACCCACGAGGACGCTACCTCGGCCATCCACACCACCCTCGAGGCCCTGCTCTGGCCATCTGCGCCTCCCGAATCTGATCCATGAAGAAGAGCTTGAATCCGATCCACGAAGAAGAAAGCCGATCTGGTGGGGATGAGGCCAATTTGATGGGGATGAGGCCAATTTGAGACAGCGGTAGTCCGATCTGAACGGAGAAGATGCGAGGTGCAGGCAGGAATGAGCGGAGGGGGCGGCGGTTCGCTGGCCGGAGCCACGAGACAGGGAGTCGGGGAGAATAAGTAAGGACGGTTGTTGTCTGGTATTTTTTTAGGTTATTTAGATTCATGCCATTATAATTTTCGATGTTTAGAGAAACGTTATTACTATTCGTCTATTTTAAAGCATGCCATTACAATTCTTCGTTTCCCACAAATATGCCACATAATGCGTATGGACACGGCCTGAGCCCAGCTGCAGCGTATACGAAGACGTATATTTCATCGTAGCCTCTCTCCCCTGTCACAGACACACGGGCCCCACATGTCATCTTCTTCTTCCTTCCCTCCTCATCTTCCCTTGCTGAGCGCGTCGATGGCGATGGCGAGAAGCATCAGCAGCACGCGGGTGAGCGGAGCTCACGGCCTAGGAGGCGTGCGGAGGACGCTGCCGGCGCGAAGCGGGCGAACTAGGCGACGCATCTGGAACCGCCACGCGACATGGCGAGAAATGGAGACCCCACTCCCTCGCTCGAGATTCGTGCCTCGCTGGAGCTGGACGTCGGATCCGTGCCTCGCTGGAGTTGAACGCGGGAGGGGCTGCGGTGGCCACCGAAGGTGGGGACGTGGCCGGGGCCATGTCCTCCGCAGAATCTGCGTCTTGCGGCGGAGCTTGGGGCGGGGCCTACGGCTCGCCGACGCGGGGAAAAAGAAGACGGAGTGCGCTCACATCCACCGCGGATTGACTCACCCGCCGCCGTGGCCGTGTTCGCCAGCTCGGTGGGAGACCGCGGGGAAGACGAAGAGGGGCCAGAGGAGCGCCTGCCGTCGGGACGGACTCTCCCACTCGATGGCCGGCCGCGGGGAAGAAGACGACGGAGTGCGCCCTCACCTGCCGCGGGGAAGACGTACTGCACCGGGCAGGGGCAGCGCCCGCGCCCTGGACCGCCGGAGCTGGGGCCGGATCCACTCCCGCGCACGCCGAAGCCGGAGCCGGTGCCGCTCGCCGTGGCTGGGGCAACGCGTGCGGTCTCTGTTTCTCGCCATGTCGCGCGTCGGAGAGAAGGAAGAAGAAGATGACATGTGGGGCCCGCGTGGTCAGTGACGGGGAGAGAGGCTGTGATGTAGTATACGTCTTTGTATACGCTGTAGCTGAGCCCAGACTGTGTCCATACGTATTATGTGGCATATTTGTGGGAAACGAATAATTATAATGACATGCTTCAAAATAGACGAATAGTAATGACGTTTCTCTAAACATCAAAAATTATAATGGCATTAATCAAATAACCCTTTTTTTATTGTGCCACTGCCCCCATATTTTGGTCCATTTATTTTAGACTGCTGTATTGTGGCCAGAAACTAGATGTGGTCCGAGGAAAAGGGGAAGTACAAATTTAAGGCCTGGTTTCCGATCACCTGCTCCTCGACTAGTAAACCGTTATGCTGGATAATTCTGCGGTTTAGTTAATACACTCCACCGGTTATCTGTGGGTGGCTATCTGATTGCGACAGTGAAGACTGATGTCCTATGCTCGATATGTGTATCAGCGTAAGCTGTGTGATTGTTTCGAGAACGACTAGAAGATGAAGATCTATTCCAATGCTCAAGAACAAATGCAGAGAGTGTAATACTCAAGAATAAATGCAATGGGCTATTGTATTGTACTTGTACATTAACTAGTTACAAAATGTCATCGAGCACAAGGACGCTAATCCAACAAGCTATAGAGATAAGTTGTCTTGGAGGTTGGCCAGCACCCGTAGGATGGTGTCCACGATGACAGGGTCCGCGCCCAGTAGCCTCTGCAGCTGCGCCTCGACCGACCCCGACCCCGACGCGCCAGAGCCGAAGACGTCGCCGACGAACCTGTACACCTGAGCGAAGTGCAGGTCGTCCGGAGACAACGGGAGCTGAACCGTCTCGACGTCCGGCGCCGAGGCACCATCAGCAGCAGCGCACCAGGCCGGCGGGCAGCCGGCAGAACTGCTGCGAGGGTGCGGCGCCGCCAGGAGGCCCAGCTTCTTCTCCGCTCTGAGGAAGTGCTTCTGGGCGTGGCTGCGTATCTGCGTGGCCGTCTTGGTGGCGACGAACGCCTGCACCCTCTTCCAGTCGCGGCCGTACAGCAGCAGGGCGTGGAGGAAGCG